ATTACAATGGCAAAGATCAAGGATAAGGACAGACTGTTAAAAGCAGCCAGACAGAGAAGTAAGATCACATACAAAGGAAAGCCCATCAGGCTATCATCAGACTTCGCAGCAGAAACCTTACAGGCTGGAAAGGAGTAGAGCTTCTGGGCATTATATATTTAATGCAATGAAGCAGAAGGGCCTTCAATGAAGAATACTTTATCTGGCAAGACTATCATTTAAATTTGAAGGAGGGATTAAATAATTTCCAGATAAGCAAAGCTGAGAGAATTTACATCACAGAAACTATCTCTACAGTGTATTTTGGAGGGACTGCTATAGATGGAAGTGTTCTTAAGGTTTAATAGCTGTCACCAGAGGTAATAAAACCACAGTAAAGAAAGTAGAACAGTTAATTACTAAGCAAATGCAAAATTTAATCAACTACCCCCAAAGTCAGTCAAGGAATAGACAAAGAATACAGAATATGACACCTAATATATGAGGAATGGAGGAAAGAAAAGGGAGGAGAAAAAGAAATGTTAGATTGTGTTTGAAATAGCATACTAAATGAGTTAAATCTGACTCTTAGATAGTAAGGAAGTTATCCTTGAACCTTTGGTAACCACAAATCTAAAGCCTGCAATGGCAATAAGTACACACCTATCGATAAACACCCTAAATGTAAATGGTCTGAATGCATTAATGAAAAGACATATAGTCACTGAATAGATAAAAAAACAAGACCTATCTGTATGCTGCCTACAAGAGACTCACTTTAAACCCAAAGACATGCACAGACTAAAAGTGAAGGGATGGAAAAAGATATTTCATGCAACTAATAGGGAGAAAAAAGCAGGAGTTGCAGTACTTGAATCAGTCAAAATAGACTTCAAAACAAAGAAAGTCACAAAAGACAAAGAAGGACATTAAATAATGATAAACAGGTCAATCCAACAAGAAGATATAACCATTATAAATATCTATGCACCCAAAACAGGAGCACCTACAAATGTGACACAAATACTAAAAGAATTAAAAGGGGAAATAGAATGCAAAGCATTCATCCTAGGAGACTTCAACACTCCACTCACTCTGAAGGACAGATCAACCAGACAGAAAATAAGTAAGGAGACAGAGGCACTGAACAACACATTAGAACAGATGGACCTATCAGACAACTACAGAACTCTCCACCCAAAAGCAGCAGAATGCACATTCTTCTCAAGTGCACATGAAACATTTTCAAGAATGGATCATATACTAGGCCACAAAAAGAGCCTCAGTGAATTCAGTGAATTCCTCAGTGAATTCAGAAAGATTGAAATTGTACCAGCTAGTTTCTTAGACCACAGAAGTATGAAACTAGAAATAAATTACACAAAGAAAATGAAAAATCCCACAAACACATGGAGGCTTCAGAACATGCTTCTAAATAACCAATGGATCAATGACCAAATAAAAAGAGAGATCAAACAATATATGGAGACAAATGACAACAATAATTCAACACTGCCGCAAAATCTGTGGAACACAGAAAAGGCTGTGCTAAGAGAAAAGTTTATTGCAATATAGGTCTACCTCAGGAAAGAAGAACAATCCCATATGAACAGTCTAAACTCACAAGTAGCGAAACTAGAAAAAGAAGAACAAATGAGTCCCAAAGTCAGTAGAAGGAGGGACATAATAAAGATTAGAGCAGAAATAAATAAAATTGAGAAGAATAAAACAATGGAAAGAATCAATGAAAGCAGAGCTGGTTCTTCGAGAAAATAAACAAAATAGATAAACCCCTAGGCAGATTTATCAATAAAAAAGGAAAGTCTACATACAAAAACAGAATCAGAAATGAGAAAGGAAAAATCACTACAGACACCACAGAAATATAAAGAATTATTAGAGAATACTATGAAAAATTATATGCTAACAAACTGGATAACATAGAAAAAATGGACAACTTTCTAGAAAAATACAAACTTCCAAGGCTGATGCAGAAAGAAACAGAAAATCTGAACAGTCCAATTACCAGCAATGAAATTAAATAGGTAATCATAAAACTACCTAAGAACAAAATTCCTGGTCCAGATGGCATCACCAATGAATTTTATCAAACATTTAGTGCAGACCTAATACCCATCCTCCTTAAAGTTTTTCGAAAAGTAGAAGAGGATGGAATACTCCCAAACTCATTCTACAAGGTGAGCATCACACTAATACCAAAACCAGGCAAAGACACCACAAAAAAAGAAAATTATAGACCAATATCCCTGATGAACATAGATGCAAAAATACTGAATAAAATATTAGCAAAACGAATTCAAAAATACATAAAAAAGATCATCCATCATGATCAAGTAGGATTTATTCTAGAGATTCAAGGATGGTACAACATTAGAAAATCCATCATCATCATCCACCACATCAACAAAAAGAAGGACAAAAACCACATGATCATCTCCATAGTTGCTGAAAAAGTATTCAACAAAATTCAACATCCATTCATGATAAAAACTCTCAACAAAATGGGTATAGAGGGCAAGTACCTCAACATAATAAAGGCCATATATGACAAACCCACAGCCAACATCAAACTTAACAGCAAGAAACTGAAAACCTTTCCTTTAAGATAGGGAACAAGGATGCCCACTCTCTCCTCTTTTATTCAACATAGTTCTGGAGGTCCTCGCCACAGCAATTAGACAACACAAAGAGATAAACGGCATCCAGATTGGTAAGGAGGAACTTAAACTGCCCCTTTTTTGCAGATGACATGATTTTTTACATAAGAAAACCCTAAAAATTCATTCCAAAATTACTAGATCTAATATCCAAATTCTGCAAAGTTGCAGGATACAAAATTAATACACAAAAATCTGTTGCATTCCTATACACTAATGATGAACTAGCAGAAAGATAAATCAGAAAAACAATTCCATTCACAATTGCATCAAAAAGAATAAAATACCTAGAAATAAACCTAACCAAGGAAGTGAAAGACCTATACTTTGAAAACTATAAGAAACTCATGAGAGAAATTAAAGAAGATACCAATAAATGGAAACACATTCCAATCTCATGAATAGAAAGAATTAATATTGTTAAAACAGCCTTCCTGCCTAAAGCAATCTACAGATTCAATGCAATTCCTATCAAAATACCAACAGCATTCTTCAATGAACTAGAGCAAATCATTCTAAAATTTATATGGAACCACAAAAGACCCCAAATAGCCAAAGCAATTCTGAGAAGGAAGAATAAAGCTGGAGGGATTACGCTTCCCAACTTCAAGCTCTACTATGAAGTCACAGTAACCAAGACAATTTGGTACTGGTACAAGAACAAAACAATAGACCAATAGAACAGACTGTAGAGCCCAGATTTAAACCCAAGCATATATGGTTAATTAATATACGATAAAGCAGCTATGGACATACAATGGAGAAATGACAGTCTCTTGAAAAACTGGTATTGGCAAAACTGGACAGCTACATGCAAGAGAATGAAACTGGATTATTGTTTAACCACATACACAAAAGTAAACTCAAAATGTAGCAAAGAACTGAATGTAAATCTTAAAACTCTAGAACTCTTAGCAGACAACATAGGCAAAAATCTCCTGAATTTAAATATGAGCAACTTCTTCCTAAATGCATCTCCTAGGGCAAGGGAAACAAAAGCAAAAATGAACACATGGGACTACATCAAACTAAAGAGCTTCTGTATGGCAAAGGATAATATCAACAGAACAAAAAGGCATCCTACAGTATGGGAGAATATATTTGTAAATGACATATCCACCAAGGAGTTAACGTCCAAAATATATAAAGAACTCACATGCCTCTACACCCAAAAAAGCAAATAATCTGATTAAAAAATGGGCAGAGGATTTGAAGAGACACATCTCCAAAGAAGAAATTCAGATGGCCAACAGGCACATGAAAAGATGCTCCACATCACTAATTGTCAGGAAAATGCAAATTAAAACCACAATGAGGTATCACCTCACACCAGTAAGGATGGCCAGCACTGAAAAGACTCAGAACAAATGTTGGAGAGGATACGGAGAATGGGGAACCCTCCCACACTGCTGGTGGGAATGTATAGTTCCACCATTGTGAAAAGCAATATGGAGGTTCCTCAAAAAACTAAAAAATAGAAATACTCATTTTTTTTCTTCCCCCACCAAGTAATACCATTATTTCAGCCAAAGGATAGCAAAATAACTTACTAGAGACCCTAAGAAATGGACATGGCCCCCACTCGAATTGACTACCACTTGTACTAGAAAATAAGACCAATACAATCTGTAGAGTATTATTGAAACTCTGCAGAAGTCTCAAACACAAATTCCTCCAGGAGTCATCAGACAACCACTGGGAAAACAAGGTACATGATACCCCAATTATACAGACATTCAAATTCAAGACATAAAAAACCTCCCAGAGAGAATAAACAAGAGCACCTCTCTGGGCAGCATTCAGCATCCAGTATCTGTATTAGCTTGACTTTTCTAGCTAATTCCCTCGGGATACACCAAGGGCATATTTTTATTATCAGTTTTCTCATATAGCTTATTTTGGGACTTTGGGGAAATTTGCTGTAGTTAGGATTTTATTTGCACCTGCAAAACAAGGTGCTATACTAGGCTGTAATCTACATCAGGTTTATAAAACCGAGTGGATTTTCAAGACATAGTAAATAAAGTATAGCTATAATAATCTACGGGTTTGCATTACATTTTTCTAGCAAGCTTTGTCCTGGAGCCATACAGAAGATGCTCAGTTTGCATTCTTTTCTACTGTACGTTGTCTTCAGAGCAATAAGAATTAGAATTTTTGTGGAATACCTGTCTTCATCTCACTTGTTTTTGATTGTTATGTGTAAGTGTAAAATGATGATTTACTTTGGAGCTTTGATTCTACATGATCATGAAATATTTAAGATGTCCAAAAACATTACTGTTTTCAAATTTCACCTATAGGTATCTTATACTACAATTTCTAAAATGAAAAACAGAGCTCTTCACATATTCAACATGTACTTTTATTTTAAATACCAGCACAACAAACACAGTGACATGACAGGACCATTGCCTCAATAATACTGATAACATTCCTTGACAATTTGGCTTATAATTTACATACCTTGTTTTTATCTATAGCTATGTTAAATATTATCTTAAGATATACTGTAAAACACAAATGTTAAATATATACCAGTTACAAACAGAGTGGGCTTAGCTACTGTTTTCATGTTATTCAAATGAAATGACTTAAAGTTCTTCAAAATCATGTCCACTTGTGTTCATTGTTTCAGGATGCATGACCCGTCCCATGAATAGGATTGTACCTGCATTGGGTTTGACGTGAACAAAACAATGAGATATTTATTTTTGTTCTTGCTTATAATTAGCAATGTTCTAAAAATGAAAATATAAATAGATTACTGTCATTTAAAAAATTACTTGAACATTAAAATTATCTGGTAATACAGAAAAATATTCTGTCTTTAAAAGAACATTTGTTTTTGGCCTATTAAATGATATTCTGTTCTCATAACAGACTTACCTGTTCTTCTGTTCCTGATAAGGAAGAAAAATGGATGGTCGACAATAACTTGAGGATACAGCACAGCCATCCTACTAATTGCAATCATTCCTACAGAGCCGAGAGAAAGTAATTACATGTCTGTGGATGTGCAGGGACTAATGAGTAATTTCTCCACCCATCTATGTTTAATGCAAAAGGAACAATTAATAAAAAACAATATTTTAAAGACTTAAAGAGAGAAAAATTATAAATAAAAGTGTTAGCATTTCAACTTGATCTTTAAAAAAAAAACAAATACACACACAATGCACACACACACACACACATATACACACACACACACAGTTTCTTCCCTCCAGCCCACCAAAAATAATAGTAAAATTTATTCTGCCTGTTACAAATTTTTTGTTTTTGGTCTCGGATAAATACTTATGGCTTTATTATCATCACCTTTGAATTAAGGGAAGGAGAAGAAGAAATAAAACACCCCAAACAAAAACATAAGACAGTTTCTTAATATTCTGCAATCATGATTTCTTTTGTCTGAAATGGGGATTTTTACACAGCAAGTCTCCAGGCTTCTAGTAAGTGGCCAGAATAGCAGTGATTAAAGGAAAAATACAGCAGTGAGAGATGCAATGGTGTTTCCTACAGCTGGGGAACTGAATTCCCCTGAGATCCTTATTACGGGACAATCATTTTCTGCTTGCTGGAAGAAGATTCATTGTCAGGAAAATGTCAAGATAAAATTATATAAGATTTTAATCTTTCTTGATGACTGAGACTACTGTGTTCCCATTTCCTACTAAAAACACTGGTTTAACTGGTGATGTCCTAGGACAAATTTTTGCAGAAGTTTAAAATAATGCGCAAATAATGATATGTTTCATTTTACCAGAGGAGGGAAAATCCTACTAAAACTTGATGGTAGCTGTTGAACACAGGTTTGATACAAATCCAAACAAGTAAATAGAAAAAAAAGTCAACAGAAAAATTATTCTACCTTATCTAGGTAGATCAGAACATTCAAAGTAATGCAAGACTTTTACCATTTTGCTTTGGACATATGGTTTAGGTAAAAAATTTTAAATAATGTATTATAGATTATGATTTTATTATTATTATTTAGTTAAAATTATTTAAATTTATTACATGCTATCATATACTTTGGTTTATGTGCTTTTAAAAAAAATCAAAACTTTTCACTGACAAAATTAAGAACTGACTTCTACAAGTAATTAAGTAGAAAGAAAAATTTAAAGAGGCAGCACAGCAGGAAAAGCTATTCTACAGAGCTGCCAATGCCCTCCTGCCTCTCACTAGGGGTGGGAGTTCCTCCCCGTCAGGGCACTGGAGTGAGCGCATGCTTCAGATCCTATTTAGGAAATTCTAGCTGGTTCAGCATTAGTTTGGCTTCTAAGTTAGAGGAGAGTCAGTTTCTCACCTTGGTTCTAAAAACGACCCCCATCCCCCACCTGGCATTGCTTTAAAAATACAGATCCAGAAAAGGCAAGTTTTTGGCACCTGAGCTGGCAGCAGCTTCTGAGCCTTCTTCATTAACCTCTATAAAGGACTTGTGAATCGCTTTGGAAAGGAAAATCTCTTTGTTATCTGCAAAAAAGAGATTAACAGAAGCATTTCTTCAGTATCAGAGATATGGAAGCATTTTACCCTTTAAATAGACATGAGAAATATAAGTGACATAGAATGTTGATATAAAACATAAGACATGATGTAAGAGTGCATTTACGATTTGAGGGAACTGTTGAAGATGTGTTTTCTGACTTTCCCTTATTTTATGTTCTTTTGTTAATTTTCCCCTGCATTTTTATTGGTAATTTTACCATTGTTTATGTCTTGTATTGCTAGAAAAAAGGAAATGTGGCTGTGTTTTTAATGGCAACTTCAAATTAGTTCATAACTCAAGATAAAAACATCTCACACACTGTGCTCTAATTTGAAATTTAAAAACAAAAAATGAAAACAGAAATCCAAATATAACCAAAATAAGAAATATTTTAAAGTCTTTAATTACAATAATAATATAAATATCTTTGGCAATGAGAAACAAAATAGACTCTTAGGTTGTAGAAATGCGAATATTTAAAAAAGTTTTCCATTCCAGTTAATTGGTTTATCTAAGGATTCACAAACATGCTTTATTCAGATATCAGAGGACATACACATTTTCAATAACAGGAGAACTTGTCTCCCATTGAATTGCCTTTCTATTAATGTTTAGTTTTAAATTAATGGCTGTTATGGGGCTCTTCTCTCAAAATTCATATGTTAAAGTTCTAATCCTCAAGACTTCAGAATGTAACTTGAGATGGTCTTAAGTTAAAATGAGGCCATTAGGGTGGGCCCTATTCCAATATGACTGGTGTCCTTTTAAGAAAAGGAAATTTGGCACAGTAGGTACAGAGGGAAGACCACGCATGATGGTTAATTCACATGTCAATTTGGCTGGGCCATGGTGCCCAGATATTTGGTCAAACACTATTCTGGATGTTTCTGCAAAGATGTTTTTTGGATGAAATCAACATTTAAATTGGTGGACTTTGAGTAACAGATCACCTTCATGATGCGGGCGGGCCTCACCAACCTGATGAAGACTTTCATGGAACAGCGACTGGCCTCCCCCGGCAGGAGTTCTGCCAGCCGACTGCCTTTGGACTGTCCCTGAGGCCCAGCCTTCCAGCCTATACTGCAGATTTTAGACTTTCAAAGTCTCCACACTGCAAGCCAGTTCCTTAAAATACATCTCTCAACCTCTCCCTCCCCTCCCCTCCTTCACCCCCACCCTTCATCCAGTCGGTTCTGTTTATTTTGGAGAATCCTGACTAATAGAACATGTGACGACACAGGGAGAGGACGGCCGCCAGTAAGCCAGAGAGAGGCCTCAGAAGAAACAGCCCTGAAGACACTCTGATCTCAGAATTCCAGCCTCCAGAACTGTGAGAAAATAAACATCTGATGTTCAGCCACTCAGTCTGTGGTACTGTGTTATGGCAGCCCTAGCAAATTGTACAGTAGCTTTCAGTTTTGGGTTTCCAACTTTGCCCCAAGATTAAAGCAAAACAAACAAAAGATCCTCTAACATATACACAAGGAAGAAAGGATTACTCAAATTTCTACCACACACACACACACACACACACCTTTTTTTTCAATTCCAGGAGGTCTAACTGAAATTTAAGGTAAATAACTGTTGCTGCTGTCCAGAACCATTCAGTAGAAGCCCAGTTGATTGACCATTAGGCTACCTAATAAGACTTTGTAAGTAACCAAGTCCAGCCCACAATATACATTTTTCTTTCAAGTTTTCAAAAACATAATTATTTTACATGGACAGGGAATGATGTTCAATAGGGTTTTTGGTACACCTATTGCATAGCACCCACTTATCTTGAATAATCCCCAAGACAGCTGAGTGACATCTCCCAATATACTTTTAATAGGATATTACTTCCTCAGCTCATATTTAGTATTAAGATATAAGCACTGCATTATGAAATAGTCTGTCTCACATATTATGATACTTTCTTCTAGAATACATTTAATGACTGAAGAAAAAATAAAAAGTGCTCACATCAAACAAGTATGACTAGCTCCCTCAAATTCACAATACTCATTTTTTTCACAAATAAAAAGAAAAATATAAATTGCATTAAGTAGTCAAATATATTTAGTTGGCAAAACAAACACATGAATTCCAAGGCCATAAAATATATGGATTATTTAGTAGCTAATTGATGCTATGCTGTTTTCAGATTCGGATGCCCATTTTCATTTCTCTAACAGGTAAGGTAGTATCATGCATCAAGAGCCAGTATTATGGCCCTGAATGCAAAAGTGATACAACCCAGTTCCTAAAGGGTAATGAGTGTCCACATTACCAGCTAAGACCTCTTCAAATATCTGAGACACCCAGTGATATTTCAGGAACATCAATTTTCACAGAGAAAACTGCCTTCAAGAGCCCCTGAGCCTGATCTGCTGGCTGCACTAAGCACCTTGAAAAAAACAGAATCTTGTTCCCTCAATGCTGGCTTCTGCCTCACAGTCATATGCTCTCATTTGCTCTCATTTACCCACACAAAATGGGGGCTGGGGAAGGGATACTGCACAGCCCTGTGGCAGAAAGATCAAGAAAGAAAAAATACTGGGTGTTCTTCCCAGAGAGCTAGTTATTTAAGATAATTAAATGGAAAAGAAGAACTGTTAACAAGATTGACAAAGAAAGAGAGATTACCCCAAAAATGATATTAAGACAAAAAATGAGAATATATATAAAGATACAGAAGAGAATTTTAAAAATCACAAAAAATATTATGTATAATTTTCTGCAGATATGTGTTAATTAACTTTATGAGTTATAATTTATTTACTAGGAACTGTGTCTATTCATAATTTAAAATTTGGTAAGTTTTGATAGATACGTATTTCTGTGAATCCACCTCCATAAATAAGATATGGAATATTTCTATCTCCCCAAAAAGATGCTTTTGCTTCTTTCTGCAGACAACTTTGAAAGTGAACCGATTTGCCATCAACTGGGCAATTTTACAGAAATGTATAAATTTTGAAATTGAATCAAGGAAGAAATATCTGAAAAATCCATTAACCATTGAAGTAGTTGAATAAGTAGTCAAAAACTTCCTCACAGTTAAGGACTCCAAGCCTACATGGTTTCCTAGGTGATTTTAACCATAGCTTCAAGAAGCAGATAAAATTTTCTTTTATAAAACCATTCTTGATTCTAGAAAGAGAAGAAAAGCAGCCTAAGTCATCTGTAGGGTATTCTTATCTTGCTTTTAAAATTGAACAAAGGCAATCTAAAAAAAAAAGCAAAGTCATAGGCCAAATTCACTTATTAATATGGAGGTAAAAGTTCTTTAAAAATCAGAAAATTAGGCCCTGAAACATATATAAATAATTTTTTAAGTGAGTTTCAAGGGATGTCAGTGTGTCAAGACGCAGCAGTTGAGAACTGCTCTAATTGCCTCCAGTTACTGTTAAAGCTTCTTCTGAGATGATCTTACCAAATACAACTCAATGGACGCCACTACCCTCCTTAAACCCTGTATCCCCTCCTGCTTGCTCTGCTTCCGAGCTCACCTTCAGTTTGTTGCGTACCCACATACCTGCTCAGTCTGTAATATGAGGACCTTCATGAGGCTGCCTCTGCTTCGTCCATTTACCATTTCCACACCATGCACTGTGTACCAGATTATCTGAATTACAGTAGCTTTAACATACCATACTTCATCACTTCAGTATCTTTGATTCTCCCAGAAACTCCTTTAACCTTCACAGAGTCTGACACCTAATCTGCTTGTAAGGCTCATCTTCTAGCCCTATCAGGCCTTTTCTGTTTCTCTCTGATTCCTACCCACCACTAATGTAGAACCAACCCAGGACTCTTTCCCACTGAAGCCAGGATCTAATTCTATTGAAGACTTTAGAATATACCATATTTGTTTGTATTGAAATCTCTCTGATTCCTGGACTGCCCAACAACTTTCTTAAGGCAAGAATTGTGTCATTCCTCTTAGTTTCCCTGGCTTCTGGCAGTCAGTGGACCTAATGAAGGCACTAACCTAAGGATGGGGCCTTCCTGGTGTATCATTGTCCAGTAGGTAAGCCGGTTGACAAGGCAGTCGGTGACTGTGGGATGAAATAGGTCAGCCATTTGCATATTGGAAGGCTTTGGGGACGGTCGCCCTATGGGCACCATGGTCACAATTCTCTTCATGATGATGGTTATAAAGTTTACTCTTGTAATAAATAAAACATGACGTTAATCCAAAGTAGATGCTCTAGGAAAACTGGCAGAGAACAGCACCAGAGAGGGAAAGAATGAATACAAACTTACACGCACATTAAGAAACTTCAAAATCAAACCAAGGGAATGGGATGCTGCAGACCGGTGTCTACATAGATTTCAAAGACAGCAAAATAAAGATACAATCCAGTGTTCCAGCTCCCAAGGGTGACTGACTGCTACACAATGGACAGAGCTGTCTGTACATATAAACAAGACCTCAGGGTACTTAACCCTTAGGAAAATGCCATCCCTTTCCTTATACAAGTAGGAGAAAATGTAACAAATAAATCACATCACAGATACTGAAGTGGGAAAAAAGTAAATGAAACTTTTTTCTTTTGGGACAAACTTCAAACAGTCACATTAAAAATCGATAATATGGAAGTGGTTTGAGCAAGAATGTGTCTGCCACCACCAAATTTTCAAAGGAGATCAGGTCATGCAGGCAAACAGGCAGAGTCATAGCCCTCTCGGCCTGCCCTGCCGTCTTGCTTATCCTTGTGCAATCATGTATCAGTCAAGGCCATCTTTCCTGCTAGGCCACACACTTATTCCTTGAGGGCCCAGCCCTTGCCTAGCCTATTCATCTCCTCCCCACAATTCCTTGTACACTACCAGGCAGCAAGTATGCATCAGATATTTGATTAATCAGAATATGAGGGGAATAAGGAAATTTATACTGATGAGCTGGTCTCACAGGTTAGAGAAAACTTAACCATTCTCTAAAAACAGATAATAAATAAATCAAAGGCAAACAGCTACCAAAAAACCACCCCAAAAA